GGTTTCTTCATAGAATGTCTTGTTCCCTCCTCGTCAATCTTCTGGAAGAGTTTGGGAAGAACTGGTATAAGTTCTTTTTTTTAAATATATATTTGAATATACCTGTGAAGCCATTTCAACCTGGACTTTTGTTTGTAAAAGGTTTTTTGTTTTATTACCAAGTTTACTTCACTTCTACTGATTGGCCTGTTCAAGTCCTCCTTGCGGTATTGGTGGGCTCTTGTTTCTAGAAATTGCCCATTACTTCTAAGTAGTTGAATCTGTTGATGTATAGTTGTTCATAGTATTCTCTTGTGATTTTTTTCTGCAGTATCAGTTGTGATTTCTCCACTTTCATTTCTTAGTTTATTTGGGTTTTCTCTCTTTGCTTCCTGGTGAGCCTGGCCAGAGGTTTGTCAATTTCGTTTACACTTTCAAAGAAACAGCTCTTAGTATTATTGACTTTTTCTATTTTTTTTTAATCTCTATTTTATTTATTTTCCCTCTTTCCTTCCTTCTGCTGACTTTTGTTTTTTTCTAATTCTTTTAGGTAGTATGTTAGGTTGTGTATTTGCAAATTTTCTTGCTTCTTTTCAGGGCCTGAATTGCTATGAATTTCCAAGACTGCTTTTCATGCAGCCCACAGATTTTGTATGGTTCTGCTTTGTCATTTGTCTCAAGGTATTTTTTAATTTCTTCTTTGATTTCATCATTAACTAATTGGTTTTTAAGTAGCATGTAGTTTAGTCTGCATGTAATTGTTTCTTGTTTGCTTGCTTCTTTTTCTGTGGTTTCTAGTTGCATGTCATTGTGATCAGAAAAGATACCTGAATACTTCCAGACTCTTAAATTTGTTGAGACTTTTTTGTACCCTGGTATGGCTAATCCTAGAGAATGTTTCATGTGCACTTGAGAAGTATGTGTACTCTTTTTCTGGATGTAATGTCCTGAAAATATCAATTGAGTCCTATCCTTTAGAATCTCTGTTGCACTATTTTTGTTCTCAAATATCTGTCCACTGATGTGAGTGGGGTATTAAAGTCTCCTACTATTATTGTATTCCCATCAGTTTCTCCCTTTATGTCTGTTTTGTGTTTTTGGGTGCCCCTATATTGGGTGCATATAGGCTGATGAGTGTAATACCCTCTTTTATTGATCCTTGTATCATTATACAGTGCTCTTCTTTTTCTTTATAGCCTTTGCTTTAAAGTCTGTTTTTTTCTGATATAATTATTGTGATCTCCAGTTTCTTGTTCTGTTTGTACGAAATCTTTCCATCCCCTCACTTTCAGTCTATCTGTGTTCTTTGCCCTGAAGTGGGTTTCTTTTAGGCAGTTTTATAGACTTTGATTTTTTTTTAATTCAATCTGCCATACTATGTTTTTTAATTGAAGGATTTACTTACTCCATTGACATTTAAGGTAATAATTGATTGCTTTGCAAAGCTTGCCATTTTAACCCTTGTTTTCCTATTGGTTTTATACTATTTTTTTTTCCTTTTGTGATTTGATGATTTTCTTTTGTATTATGCTTTCACTCTTCATTTTGCTTTTTGTGAATGTATTGTATGGTTTTGATTGGTGTTTACCCTGTTTTTCTAGTATGTTAACCCCTTCCTATATCTACTTGCTTTTAACTGCTAGTCATATAGGCTCAAACACATTCTAGGGAAAAAAAAATCTTCATTTTCTTACTCTTATCCCCCACATTTTATGATTTTGTTGTCTTCTTTCAAATCTTCATATTCATCCTTTCGCTACTCATTGTGGTTATCACTTTTACAGAACTTTTTTGATTTTTAAAAATCTGTGTACTAGCTTATTTAAATGATTTACTTTCCAATTCTGATGTTCTCTTTCCTATAGCTCTTACTTCCCTTCTATGTAGAGATGATTTTTCAATAGTTCCTTTAGGATAGGTTTAATATTGCTGTATTCTTTTTAGTTTTTGCTTATCTTAGAAATTCTTTCTCTTATTCTAAATGATAATCTTGCTGGGTAGAGTATCCCAGGTTGCAGATTTTTCTCTTTCAGGACTTTGAGACTATCGTACCACTGTTTTCTGGCCTGTAATGTTTCTATAGAGCAATCAGCTGATAGCCTTATGGGGGGTTCCTTTGTCTTTTTTTTGTTGTTGTTGCTTCTAGACTATTCTCTTTAACTTTTGCCATGGGGCACTAGTGGTAAAGAATCCTGTTACCAGTGCAGGAGACATGAGACAGAAGTTTGATTCCTGGGTCAGGAAGATCCCCTGCAGTAGGAAATGGCAACCCACTCTAGTATTCTTGTCTGGAGAATCCCCATGGACAGAGAAGGCTGGCAGGCTACAGTCCACAAGGTTGCTAAGCATCAGATATGACTGGAGTGACTCAGCATGCATACTTGTCTTGACGTACGTCTGTTTGTGTTTATCTTGTTTGAAACCCTCTGTGCTTCTTATATCTGGATATGTTTCCTTCTTTAGATTTGGGACATTTTTAGTCATAATTTCTTCAACCTCTTCAAATACAGTAAGTCCCCTACGTATGAACCTTCAAGTTGGGAACTATCAGGGATGTGTGAGTTTGCACTTCCAATTACATAAGTTAGTTCACGTGTCTGGAGTACACTGTCACATGGATGCACCCTCTACGAGTGGTTGTGCTTCTGTGCACTTTATTTGAGGAGGCACTGTCAGTGTTTGAAACATAGGACGCAAATGTAGAACAACACATGAAGCTTGCAGCGGCTCTTCAGGAGTGCAATCCAGTGCTACCATTTCATCCATTATGAGGAGAAAAGAGCTACTACCGAGACATCACTGAATCATTCTTTTAAGACGGTAGACAGAATTTAAGCCAGCAAGGAACCAGAACCTGTGCCATCCACGTTCGGCATGAGTGAAACCGCAGCTGACGACCCTTCAGCTCTACTATCTCCAACTTCCTCACCCTCCTCCAGCCAGTAACTCTTCTTGACTCTTCACTTGATGCCAGACCAGGCATGACAGCTGTCACAGTGTAGTGCTGTACTTTTTAAGGTACTGTAAGATTAAAAATGCTTGTGCTTCTTATGTATTATGTGAAAAATCTTATAAATATATCATTATCTGTGTTATATAATGATACATATCATTAACCAATTGTGTTAGTTGGGTACCTAGGCTAACTTCATTGGATTTATGTACAAATTGGACATGTGAATGCCTTTGAAACCAAACTTGTTTGTATGTTACTATACATTTTTAATCCCCTTTTCTCCTTCTGGAGTTATTATGCATATATTGGCATGCTTTATATTATCCCTTAAGTCTCATATTATTATTGTTGTTGTTGTTTTTTCCTTTTGGCTGTCTGCCATCCAGATTGGGCGATTTCTATTCTTCTATCTTCCAGATCACTTATTCTTCTGAATTATTAATCCTGCTATTCAATGCCTTTAGCTCAGCTTTTGTCCTGGCAAATGAATTTCCTAATTTTTCTTAGTTCTTTTTTATAGTCTTTAGTTCCTTTTTACAGCAATCTGCATTTTTATCAATAGCCCTTTTTTTTTCATGTGCACGCTGATTCTACTGAAAAGTGTAAAAGCAAGATGAGTTTTGTTACAGTCTTTTTACTCTCAGAAAATAAGTGAAAATTAAGGCACTAATGAAATAAGACAGTCTTCTTCACAATCATGAAATCGAGTACTGAGAGAAATTCTACAGATAATAAAATCCGAACTGATAGTGAACCATCTATGTGCATTAATATATATTTCTATTTTTCTTATTAAAAATGAGGTTTTTTTCATTTATTTTTATTAGTTGGAGGCTAATTACTTTACAATATTGTAGTGGTTTTTGCCATACATTGACATGAATCAGCCATGGATTTACATGTGTTCCTCATCCCGATCCCCCCTCCCACCTCCCTCCCCATCCCATCCCTCTGGGTCTTCCCAGTGCACCAGCCCCGAGCACTTGTCTCATGCATCCAACCTGGACTGGCGATCTGTTTCACATCTGATAATATACATGTTTCGATGCTGTTCTCTCAGATCATCCCACCCTCGCCTTCTCCCATAGAGTCCAAAAGTCTGTTCTATACATCTGTGTCTAATTTTCTGTCTTGCATATAGGGTTATCATTACCATCTTTCTAAATTCCATATATATGCATTAGTATACTGTATTGGTGTTTATCTTTCTGGCTTACTTCACTCTGTATAATGGGCTCCAGTTTCATCCATCTCATTAGAACTGATTCAAATGTATTATTTTTAATGGCTGAGTAATATTCCATTGTGTATATGTACAACAGCTTTCTTATCCTTTCATCTGCTGATGGGCATTTATGGGCATTTATAATAGCCAGGACATCAGTAGCCCTTCTAAAAATTCCTTCAGTATTTTCATTATCTCCCTTGAGTTTGGTGTCTATTAGACTGAAGAGATTTGTTTCATTGTTCTTTCAGGGGAATTCTCTTGATCTTTCCACTGGGAGTGGTTCTTCTACTTCTTAACTTTCCTTATATTTCTGTTACTCTATGAGTTTAGGAGAAACAATTACCTGCTGGTAGTCTTGGAGGTCTATTTTTATGCAGGAGCATCGTTGTGTAGCTTGTGAGGGTTTAATACTTATAGTGTGAGGGCTGCTTTTAGTACAAAGGTCTGCCGCCTCCTTCCTCAGAGCGTGCTGGCCACTATGCCCGGGACAGGAGGTGTGACTGGTGGTGTGACGGCCAGAGCCTGCAGTGGGTCTTCACTGAGGCCTCCTCTTTGCTCTCTGGCTTCCAGAGCCCTGTCAGGGACAGAATCTGGTCCCCCAGTGTGGGAGGAGAAGCTCCCAGATCTATTGCTGAGCTGTGGTGTGAAACAGGTGGGACTGGAACGGTCCCACTGGGAGAGTAGCCACTGAGTAATCCTCCTCTGGAGTTGCCCAGCAGTGAGTGTGCTCTACCGTGTCACCTGTTGTGTGGGCTCACAAAGTACGCTGTTGTTGGCTCTGCCCTTGGCCCTGCCTCAACTATGGGAACGTTGGCAATCAGCCCTGGTGTCCCTCAGGCAATGTTTTCACAGGGCCACCAGCACAGCCCCACCGAAGTCGGGTTCCAGGACTGCAGTATTCGTGCACCCGACCCACTGTGGGAGCTACCAGCAGCTCGGACCCTGGCCCAACCCAAGCCCCACATGCACGTGCCCATAAAGCTCATGCTGCTAAGGCTAGACCCGTCCCAGCAGCGGTAGCACCCATTGCTTGGACCTCCTGCAGGTGCTGAATTTACAAAGCCGGTGGAGATGTGAATCCGTGACCTGCACAGCATTGGGGTAATTTCAGTCCTGTTTCCTAAGCTGTACAGCCCCTGGGGCTTTGCTATGATTTCAGCCCCACCTCCATGTGGGGGCACCCTGCTGGCACCTGTTCCTAGAGCCCACTAAGGTGGTGGCTTGTGCAGGAGCCCACCGAGACCGCAGCTGGGTGTGCGCTCCCAGAGCCCATGGTGGTGGGCACGGGCGTGTGGAGAAGAGGCCCTTGCAGCAGCCAGCCCCACCCTGCCCCTCACACCACTGGACAATGGAGGATGGGGCTTTGTCCCTATGGTGGCCCAGCTTCTTCCACCCCACCCCTGGTTGCAGCCACACAATGCAGCCACTTCAGGCGATCCCCACACAGCCAACTGCAGTCCTGTCCCTGGGACTGTCCTCTAAACCCCGATTCCAGCACCCAGCCCCGGCCCATAGCAGCAGATGCACCTCTCAGGTTGGGGTGGGTGTACAGGGCAGTGGCAGGACGGTCTGTGCAGGTCTCTGTTGTCTGCTTACACACACTGGCTGCTGCCTTTTCCTCTGAGCCTCCAGAGCTCCCTTTTCTGTCCTGGCTGACCTCCTCACTGGCAAAGGTGCTTCCCCAGATGCAGGAACATTTCCTTTCTCAGTTCCCTCCCAGGGGCACAGATCCCATCCTGCTTCCTCCTGTTTTTATTTCCTTTTGGCCTACCTAGTTGCATGATCTTTCTTGTCCTTTCAAGTGTTTGAGATCTTCTGTTGGTGTTTAGGTATTCTATGAGAGTTGTTCCATTTGCAGATGTATTTTTAAAAATTATTTATTTGTTGTGCTGGGTCTTCATTGCTGTGCGAGCTTTTCTCTATTTAGAGTGGGTGGGCACTGCTCTGGTTATAGTGCCTGGGCTTCCCACTGACATGACTTCTCTTGTTGCGGAGCAGACTCTAGGTGTGTGGACTTCAGTAGTTGTAGCACGTGGGCTCAGTAGGTGTGTTCTCCGGCTCGAGAGCACAGGCTCAATAGCTGTGGCGCACAGGCTTAGCTGTTTCGCAGCATGTGGGATCTCCCCAGACCAGGGGTCAAACCTGCATCGTGTGCACTGTACGTACGTGCTTAGTCGCTCAGTTGTGTCTGACTCTTTGCAATCTCATGGACTGCAGCCCTGCCAGACTCCTCTGTCCATGGGGATTCTCCAGGCAAGAATACTGGAGTGGGTTGCCATGCCCCTCTCCATGGGATCTTCCCAACCCAGGGATGGAACCCAGGTCTCCTGCATTGCAGGCAGGTTCTTTACCAACTGAGCCACCAGGGAAACCCTCATCTCCTGCATAGGAAGGCAGATTCCTTACCAAAGAACCAGCAGAGAAGCCCTGCAGATGTATTTCTGATGTATTTGCCGGAGGAAGTGAGTTCCATATCCTTCTACTCCACTAGCCTGATTGGAGTCCGCACAGATTCTTAAATGCATTATTTGCTGATTTAATTTTCTCTCCATGCTTTCAGCACAAAAATTCAACACCACTATACATAAAACAGGTAAACAACAAGTACCTACTACCGTACAGTGGTGGGAACTACTAATATACTCACTTTCTTGTCATAATCTATAATGGAAAAAAATCTAAAATAAAAAAATGTATATACACACATAAAGACAAAACCGGATCACTGAGCTGTAACACTTGAAACTAATGCAGTGTTGTAAATTAACTATTAACTAAGAAAACAAAATCCAAAAAACCAAAACCCCTCAAAAAGCCTTATACTTCTACTACAGGGAATGAATACCTAGAAACTACAGGGCTAAACTGAAAACTCCATCCTGCATTTATTAGCAATCTTGTTTCACTACCTTGTCATCAATGTTCAAAAACAGACCTGCAGCAGAAGACTCAGGGGAAATACAGAAGCTCTCTGTACCGACATATTCTTAAACTTTTGATAAGGTTCTACAGTGATAATTCTTGGAGAAAATAAAATGCCATGAGGCAATGGACAAAAGGAGCTTATGGGATAGAAAGCAAATCCAGTAACAGGGAAACTGCATCACTTCTGGCAGGAAGGTCAAATGAAGTGGGAAGGTAATTTCCTGCAGGTGACAAGATTTCCATAGACTCACAGCACTAATTTCATGGAATGCCAATTACAGTGAAAAGCCTCAGACCAGGACAACAGCTACCTGTCAAAAAGGAGCTCAATATTGAAAAGGAGGCAGATGCTCTAGGTAAATAAGTGATACCTGAATGTGAGTTAGGTACCCTTGTGAGAAACACTAACTCTGGGCCCACATCGTCTTCGGAAGCCCACTCCTAGGCAGTGTCGTGCATTCCAGAGAGCCTGACAGTCAAACCTGTGCACTTGTTCGAAACACGCCTGTGCGTAAGAGGGAGATGAGACACATCAGGCCCCCCATCCACCCCCGTCAGGGGGAAGCCACCGTCTCCACTGCAGCAGGGCTCTGCCTGCCCATTTCCACAGCCCCTCCTCCAGCCTTCTCTCGCCCTCCCTCTACCAAATGGATCTAATTACCACAGTGGTTTGAGGCTCTCAAATTTCTTCCCTTCAAGCTGTAAAGATATCCTCAGACCGAGCCTCATGTTCAGAACGGCTGTCAGCTCTAACTTTAATGGGCACTTAAATTTAATGTCAAGCTGATGCCTGTGGAAGACCTTGATTAAATCTGCAAACAGTAGACTCTAACTAAACCAGAATTTTAGAGTTGTCTCATTTTGCCTTTCAAGCTTAAATCCCAGAAGTTTTCTTTTTTTCTGTGCAAAGAATTGCAAGAGTTTGTCTGCAAAGACCCTGAGTATCAGTCAGGCAGCAAAGTGTAACAAGCAGGACACCGCCATGCTTTTACAGAGAAATCCCTCAGTTTACAAGGCCATATGATTTAAAGATCCTTCCTCTTCATTGCTCTGTTCTGCTCCCTCCCTTTCAAAATCTGTAACTGTTTACTTTCACGACTATAATACTATAAGCGACTATATATGAAAAGTTTACTTAAACCTTCCTAGTATTCTTTTATGCACACTGCAATTAAGAGTTTTAGACTATCTGAATGGAGTGAGAAGCAAAATAAAAGAAATGGGACAGTATCTCCCCAAACAACATTGGTGCTCCCACCAGCTGCAAATTTCCAACCTGGGCTCGGCTTCTCCTGTCTCTTCTTTTGTCTCTGATCACTGTACAGCCTCTCCTCCTTGAAGAGGTAATAAAAGATGAACGTTAAAAAACCCGGAAGGCTCATGTTCTTTGTCATTGGCTGCTGCTTTGAAAAGAGGTTGCTGGCTTTTGATTTTTCTTTTGAGTTCTTCCTACATCATCTGATTCAAACAGGTCTTTCAAAGAAAACAAATCAAAATTGTCAAGACCTGTGAAGCATGAAAAATAAATTGCTTTTTCCAACTCCACAAAGCACCAGAAAGGCATTAATGTCTATCTTCTTATATAAACCTCTAACCCCATCCTCTAATCTACACGATTCACAAAATATTTATATACTCTTCTGTATAATACATGACAGGAGACCAAGCCCTACTACAAAGAAATGAAACTGGGAAAATGACTAATATTTAAACTAGTGTTATTTTGGAGTTTGACTAGACACACATAAAACATTCAAATGCTTGAGGCTGCTGGGTAAGACAGTCACCTCAGATACAGGTGCTTGCTGTCGAGGGCTCTGTGCAGGGCGCAAAGGCTTCAGGAGAAAACATGCGGCAGGAAAGAAAGCCTTGCAAATCGTGCCAGGTACAAAATGCCCTGTCCTGAGGCTCTCGCTAACCTACAGTACGAGGCTGTGGTTCGATTTCCCTTCTTGTAATACAGCAGAGACCTGCCTTTCTGTGTTTGGCTTTCCATCACTAACTTGATTCTGAGGTTAAAACAGTACTCATCCTTAACATAAAAAACAAAAAAGGTTTTGCAGTTTAGGGATGAAGTGGTTGGGAGTCATCAGATTTCTGCTGAGAACTATACATGATACAAGGAATAGTAGATGGTTTCAGAAGGGAGAGATTTATAGAGGTAATCTGTAGTGGAATAACACTATTTTCGGAACTAGGTAATAATAAGTCACAAAGACAAGCAAAGACTCAGATGTATCTCCTCTAGTTATCAGTTCAGTTCAGTTCAGTCACTCAGTCGTGTCTGACTCTTTGCGACCCCATGGACTACAGCACACCAGGCCTCCCTGTCCATCACAAAATCCCGGAGCTTACTCAAACTCATGTCCATCGAGTCAGTGATGCCATCCAACCATCTCATCCTCTGTTAGTCCCCTTCTCCTCCCACCTTCAATTTTTCCCAGCATCAGGGTCTTTTCCAATGAGTCAGTTCTTCACATCAGGTAACCAAAGTATTAGTTTCAGCTTCAACATCAGTCCTTCCAGGGAGTATTCTGGACGGATTTCCTTTATATGTCACTAAATATTCCAAGAAATCTTTGCCCAGCAGCCTAAGATCAAAACCTTATCAGCTGACATTTTCAGGTTCTGATGGTCTGATCCTGTTTAAGACAGACAGTGCACTGTCTCATGTGATTAAACAGGATAAAGGGCAAAAAGAGTGCATATATGTATGTGTGTAACTGACTCACTTTGCTGTACATGTGAAACTTAACACAACACTGAGAATCAACTATACTACAATAATAAAATTGTAGCTTTTAAAAAAGGGATAAAGGGCAAGGGCCCTCTCCCTCAGGAAAAGAGCGCTGTGTAGAATGGCACCCAAGGGAGTCGGTGAGTGAGGGTCACGTTCTCTCTCTGAGTGTAAATGCTCTAGCGAGTGAGCGGCGCCCACAGGGAGGAAATACCTCAGATCAGGGCACCACCCGTAGGCGCACGGTGCATCACCAAGGACAGGCAGGGAGCAGGGCACTAGTTCAGGTAACACCCATGACCTTTCACAACCAACTCTACTGCTAGCACCGAAACAGGCATTACTAAAAATACGAGCATAGTCACAACCGAAGCTAATGAATTTAGGAAATCTACCTGGCAGTTCACAGCAACCACAGAAGCAGGGAGGTGTGGAAGCTGGAGGGCGGAATGAAGAAACTCTTCAGTCTTTACTTAGAACCTTCTCACCTTAGTGATGGCTGTCCCCCCAAGAGAGCGGAAGTGGCAGCAGAAAAGGAATACTATGGTTTTATAAAATAAAACCCTTCTATTCCTTATAACAATATGAGTGGCTGTACACATCCAGTTTCTCTTAATTCCCGAGTCACAACTCACTTCAGTAGAGTTTGCTCCCATTCAAAGGAGCAACAATTCTGTTGCTAATGCAGAATAACTTCAAATGGCCAAATCAAGAGAAAAAGGAAGCAGAAAAAGTTTAAAATTTGGCAATATGTTGAATATATGTGGTATCCAGAATACCACATTAAGACCTGAGGCAAAGGCATAATATGAGTCTCACAACTATATGCAGACATACAATTATATACATTTTGATATTTATTAACAAAGATGGTCCAGAAAAGGTCTGGGCCAACATTACAGTGATAAGTGTTAAACTAAAAGCTGTTCTCAGTTGTATTGTTTCTAGGGGACAGTAACCAGTCCAGAAGGCTGCTTTCTCTCCTGAAAAAGGACTTAAGTCACATCATTCAAGTGTTAGATATCAAAAGAAATACCTCCTCTTCTCTTTTGACAAAGCAAAATACACTGGAGGTCTTTGTTTTTACCTGCAAGCCTGCCTTCCTGAGAAGCATGCACGTGTGGACGGATGAAGGAGGTAGGGCAGAGGGAGAAGGTGAGAAAAAAGGCAAAATCATGAAGTTGGAAATAAAAGCCAGTGAAGAAGATGGGCTACCAACTGCCCAGGAATCATTCACTGAAGCAACTCCTCCAGTTCCTCCAGATCCATGTCCAGAGAGGAGCTGAGCGAGTCCAAAGCGGAGGACGAATCCTTGCTTCTCTGGACACTCGGTCTGGTTTGGGGTGTTTCAGGTTGGACAGACTCCTTCTTGATGTCTTTACCTCCACCGAGGATCCGCTGGCTCTCAAAAAAGAACTGGTTTGGATGACTCAAAGAAAAGCCACAATCATCCACCTGCACGAGAAGCAGATGTGTGTCACAACAGTACATACATAACGAAAGTACAAATAAAGGGGGCGTGAAGAACCATGCAGACCTCATTCAAAACCTACTCAACACCTAAAATACAGATTCTCCTTCAAAATCTCAACCACCACTTAAACGATCTCACTCACAGGGAGTTCCAGCCACCCCCGGACAGTAACAAGCCATGAGCGGTACTTCTAGTCCAGACCCCTGCTTCCCCACCCACCCACCTCCTACCTGACACCTCAGATGCTCAAAGGCTGCTGCTGCTGCAAAGTCACTTCAGTCATGTCCGACTCTGTGTGATCCCATAGATGGTAGCCCACCAGGCTCCCCCATCCCTGGGATTCTCCAGGAAAGAACACTGGAGTGGGCTGCCATTTCCTTCTCCAGTGCATGAAAGTGAAAAGTGAAAGTGAAGTCGCTCAGTCGTGTCCGACTCTTAGTGACCCCATGGACTGCAGCCTACCAGGCTCCTCCATCCATGGGATTTCCAGTACTCTTGCCTGGAAAATCCCATGGACGGAGGCATGTCAGAGCAAAATGCCTGGCATCTTGTCAGTCAATATTTGTTTAAAAAACAAGAAAAGAAAAAAGGAGCATCTTCCTGATGAGCTGAGTCTAGAAGGATGAGAGAGTAACAGCTGAAATGAAGAGGGTGAGGGCCATACAAGCAGTGGGACCCCAGGAGCGGGGTACAGAGGGCTGCCTGGAAAAGCAGGAGGTGTGGGAGTGCGGGTGTGCAAGGCACAGAATGGGGCAACAGGACAAGAGGCTGGGAAGAGGCCGCGGCCAGACCGCAGAGACATCTGACAACCATATCAGTAACCCAGACCAAATTGTGTAGGCATCAACATTTTTAGTAGTCACTAAAATTTCTTAAGAAGGGAAGTGATGTGATTAAAGACATGCGTAATCTTATGGTGGATTAAAATGGATTAGCAGGGGGTTAAAGTTACCATTACAGTTCAGGATGAACCTTCTTAACAAGTAGACCAATAAACAGAAAGAAGATCTTTCCTGGTAAAACTTACTTGAGAATCCCAGGGTTCTCTGGTTCTCTGTAGTCATTGTTGATACATGTTGGACCAAAAATTTTTAAATAATTCAGTGTATAGCAGATTGATAGTGTACACACTGACTTAAGAGTTATGACCTAGATCACAAAGAATAATTTTTTATCTGCTCCTTTCCTGCTTAGTTTCAAAATATTTCCTGAATGTTTTATCTATAGTTTTTATTAACAATGGAGTCATTTTGTGAGCTTATTACATTAATTTTCACTCAATTCATTAAAAACTGGGAGATTCAATATAAAGTTCGCACTTTACAAAGTGTTTCATGAAAAGTAAGTTTATTTCCCAGCACATTTTCAACCAGTAGGCTTTGCTTTTATGAACAGAGAATACTAGAGATTGGAAAGATGTAAGGAATCCTTTCAATTGAATCTCCTCCAAGTACAGACTAAGAAACTGAGACCCAATGGTTGAGACACAGTCATGGCACTAGTAACCAGTTGTGCCAGAATTAGAATTCAGGCCTTCAGGTCACTTAGTTACTCTGAAATCTGTTTTAAGGGGTTTTATGCAAAGTCAAACTTACAATCACAGCATTATAAATATTATTTTAGAGATAAACTTGTCTATAAGAATTATAAAAAGCATAGTTGGGTCACTTTATGCAAAAAGTGCACCTTTTGTGGTAATTAATTACATATTTTCTACACCTTGTTACAACTGTCAAAATATCTATCACAGATATCTGTGGAGTAAACTGAGTGATTAGATTTCAATATGGACAAAATGAAATGTGGTCATCTTTACACACCAGGCTTCCCTGCTGACTCAGATGGTAAAGCGTCTGCTGCAATGTGGGAGACCCAGGTTCAATCCCTGGGTGGGGAAGATCCCCCGGAGAAGGAAATGGTAACCCACTCCAGTACCCTTGCCTGGAAAATCCCAAGGACAGAGGAGCCTGGTAGGTTACAGTCTATGGGGTTGCAGAGAGTTGGACACGACTGAGCGACTTCACTTTCACTTTTCACTGTATATTAAAAGCATCAGTTTCTTCTCCCCTGAAATGGGGGTTACAATAGTTATGTCATAGGGCTGCTACGAGGAAATCCAAGGAAATATGAGGATACAAAGAAAGAGTTGTTGGTTCTATGAAATCTACATTAAATGCTTTGGAAAGATTCAAGAAAGGCAAGTTAGTTAAAAATAAAACAACCTGAATTCTCAAAAAGACAGGGGGAATTATCATACTGCTTTGTATTATCATTAAGTTCTTTCCACTTTAAAGAAACACAAACTGGAAATTAGTGCTGGTGTATTATGTGTATGGTTTTTGAAAAAAAAATGAAATCAAATTCCCATCCCTAAACTACACTCAAACAAAAGACTTTGCCTTTATATCAGAAATAGCAAATAAATGACATTCAAATGTTTTAAGTTTAAAATGTAATGTTTTAACCTTATATGCAAAACAGAAAAAAGAGACTCAGATGTATAGAACAGACCTGTGGACTCTGGGAGAAGGCGAGGGTGGGATGTTTCAAGAGAACAGCATCAAAATATGTATATTATCTAGGGTGAAACAGATCACCAGCCCAGGTTGGGTGCATGAGACAAGTGCTCGGGCCTGGTGCACTGGGAAGACCCAGAGGGATCGGGTGGAGAGGGAGGTGGGAGGGGGGACCGGGATGGGGAATACATGTAAATCCATGGCTAATTCATTTCAATGTATGACAAAAACCACTGCAATGATGTAAAGTAATTAGCCTCCAACTAATAAAAATAAATGGAAAAAAAAATAAATAAAATGTAATGTTTTGTTTGTGTTAGTTGCTAGCCGTGTCCAACATTTTGAGACTCCATGGACTGTAGCCCGCCAGGCTCCTTTGTCCGTGGAATTCTTCAGGCAAGAATACTAGTGGGTAGCCATTCCCTTCTCCAGGGGATCTTCCTGACCCAGGGATGGAACCCAGGTCACCTGCATGCAGGCAAATTCTTTACCATTTGAGCCACCAAGGAAGCCCAAAATGTAATGTTAGGTTACATTTGAAATGTAATCCGTTTTAATTAATATTTTTATTAACCAAGTAAATAATGCCAAGGGTACTGAAATGAGGGCCTGTAACCAAGGTTCTGTGTGACGTCATGTTTCCCAACTTTCTCTCTTAGGTCTGCAATCATCCTTTCTTAGCTCATTTTGTTAAATAAGCTAATTTTACCAAACATCTATTAAGATGCCTGGTAGCATGATGAACTTATGAAGAGTTTCCTTCTGTTTACTGGACTGTATTTCTTCTAAGATGGGGTATTTCTTTTTAAATTTTTCTTTCTTTCACTTTTATTTTTGGCTGAAGGAAGTTATCTTTCATCCTGTTCAGGAACTTAAAACTAGGAAGTTTTAGGGAGGAAAGGGAGAAGCATAAACCAAATAGAATGAAAACAGATTTTACTTTAAATCCAATTAGTAAAAAGAATAGAGTAAGAGATTTAGCCACATCAAAATCTCCCACTTAAAAGTTAGCAGTTACTTCCTTTGTGTGGTGGTGGCACGCAGTCATGTCTGACTCTCTGCAGCCCCACAGACGGCAGCCCTCCAGGCTCCTCTGTGGAATTCTCCAGGCAAGAATGCTGAAGCGGGCTGCCATTTTCCACTGCAGGGACTCTCCCAACCCAGGAACAGATCCTGTGACTCCTGCGAAGCCCCACTGTTTCCTTTACTCCTCATTAGAAAAGAAAGGGGGGTGAGGTGCAGTTTGCCTCATTCTATATTTGGAAATACTAAGTGAGAATTCTCACAGTTTTGTTTGCTGGGAATGTTTCTCTCCTTGCTTTTATTCTTGTTTGGTTCCTACTGGTGATATTTCTCTTTGTGGTTAATAATAATTTTTTTTTTTAATGTTTTCTACTTTCTGTTAAGTTTTGAGAGAGGGAAATCCTGTGATGCATCTTCACTCTGTCCAATGATCTCGGGAGTCCCAAAGCAAAGATCTAACATAAGATGAGTAGAAGAAAGAGGTGGGATAGAGACCTTTATAGGCTACATTATAAATTCTGAGTTTCATCTTAGGAAGGATGGGGAAGGCTTTTAACATGTTTTTAAAAAGCACGTTACTGAAATGGTCAGACTTCTCTGTTTTAAAAGTCACCCAGCAGCCATGTGGAGGAGAAGGAACTAGGCAGGTAAGTGTGCAGCTGCTGGGGAAGGAGTCTGGGGGAAGGCCCAGGGACTGATCCCCAAAGTGATCTTGATCAAGAATTAAAAAGCTTAAGTGTACTTGGTATATTCTATTTAAGATTGTAGGAAAATGTGTGATAGATTTTAATAAGATTTGTGTAGAGATCTCTTAAAGTGAAAAGGAATTATGCTCAGCTGTTTGGAAAATAAGTATCCAGAATGACTCAGTACCTAAAGAGACCTATTTCTAAAGAAATAATTTTCAATTAAAATCCAGAGTTTAATCTACACAAAGGCCTAGTGTTTTCATTTTACAGAGTATGACAAAATTTTTTAAAAAATCACTACAATATAAAATACTGCTCTCTAAAAATACTGAGGAAAACAGATTTCAAGCAGGCCCGCCTTTGATATCTACTAAGTGAATCTCTCTAACATCTGCTTGGAATCAGCATGCTTTGCACACGATGACCTTCACAGTAACAAAGTTTTCATATATCTGCTGTAGCAAATGTGGATTCTGAATGCAATGGAAGCAATACTGTTTTACCTATGGGATGTTTGGGTTTTAATCAAGAGGTTTTCAATGACAGCTTATAATGAGGCAGCTGGTCTTACCAAAAAAGCCATATGGAACCATCACAGCACTGCTGTAAATGTTATCAGCTAACTGGTTCATTTTCAAAACTTTCATTAAAGTGAGTTTGATCACAGAGGGCTCAAAAAAATAATCACAAGTTTTGGGGGGAGAGCAGGCAGAATAACAGCAACATGACAATAAAAACAGATTTTGTTTTTAAATTAAATTAGAAAAAATAGTAAGTGAAGAGAGAGATTCACAACCAAAAAATCTATAAGGAGACATTTAGTGAATACAAACAGCCTTTTTATTCCATTGATTTATATCTGGTTTAAAGTAGACTTTCTGTATGTGGGAGGATTTAGACATGTGTCTTTTTAATCTCTTCATTAATCTAAGGCAAGTTTTAAAAATCGGCAATAGTAGTAATACTCTTATAGGAATAATCAATAGGAGAGATGCTACAAAAGCAGATCTGAGAAATAAACACTTCTTACTTTTTAGCAATGTCACAGACTCAGTGTTAAATATAATTTTCAAATCTTCTTAAAAAAAGAGGTTAAATTGACCTTAATTTGTGAAAGTTATAAGGCCTTTTAATTAAAAAGGTACACAAATAATTAAGAATTAAATTAAATTAAAATTTTCAACTTGAGCAAGCAAATTATAGTCTACAGGGGAAAGTTGTGCAAGGCTGATGCTGAAAATACCAAACATGTGGCTCATCTGTTGAGATTCCTATTTTAATAAAACTGATAACAATTTGTTGTTCACTACTATATTGACATTTAGTTCTTTCAACTTTGTAAAAATAAAATTTTTATGTTTTTAAAGAAAAACACTATTTTCAACAGTTAGGTGTAATACTAAGAGGACTAGACCCACGGCCCAGAGCAGACCAGGATTCTGTCTCCAGTCTGTTTGCAGACCTCCCACTAACCAGCTGTGGTCCTTCAGGCGAGTCATGTTGAATTACTAGGCCCGCTTATTTTTTAAAGTAAACTGTGAAGGCTGGATCGTGAATCCAGACAGGAAAATACTCATGGCCTCTACAGTCATTATTACAAACACAGTTTCAGGTGCTCCAGAACACAGTCAGGATTGGCTCATGAGCTCCAGGTGAGGGCTTGACAGCCTGTTCAAATCCAAGCTTCACCCCTTAGGGCCTTAAGCCCTCAGACTCTCTAAGCTCTGTCATGATGGGGATGCGGATTGGGCTTACTCTAGTCTGCGGTGTGAACCAAAGGACCCATGTGTCCAGGGCACTAAGTGCTGGGCCTGGCAAATGTGAAGGGTTTTGTTGGTGTTGGCTGACATTATTCAATATTATTATTATTTTCATTATTATCAGTGATGTTATAAGATACATTTGTCCTATGAAATTTAATGTAAGAAGTTCTGCAATTTTTGTGGTTATATAACCACAAAAGAAAAAGGATTTCATGAAAACCAGAAAACATAAAACTGATTATAAAACTTAAAAGTTCCATGGTAGCTGATGATGAATTCCATACACACAGCATCTTTTTTGGGAGGATCATGGATCCCTCTGAAACCTGATAAACACTAGGCTCCAAAAATGCACAATATGTACCTAGAGAAAACATGTTTCAAGGGTGCATGGCCCAGGTCCATTCTTGGCTTTCTGTCCCATGTTACAAAGCCATGATCGGGACCAGTGACTGCAAATGGGGGGTCTGTGAGCTAAGTCGACCTGCAGACACGCTGTCAGCCTGCACACAGCCACAGAACTTGTCAACGTTCACACCTCTAGCAGAGTGACTAATTCACCGGAGTTCATCTCGGGCAATTTCACTTTTCCAGGTTATCTGCCTGACCCCTGCAGACCTCTGAGTTTGTGACCTAAGCATTACACCTCTCAGAACCTACTAGCAGGCCTTTTGTACAGGAGTCTGGCAAGAAAACAACCAAACACATTTCCCTGACTCCCTTGCAGCTTGGGGGTCCACTGCATAACCAAGGGTCTGCCATGCAGATAAACATGAGACTGGGAAACAGACTACGGTAACATGAGGGAGCAGCCACAAGTAAAAGCATTCAATTTTCTACACGGAAGATGGCAAAAGCCTTCAGTTCTTCTGAACAACAGCAGCCAGTGTTCAGACCTACTCTGAGGACTAGGTACCTAAGGCCCGAGGGTCCAGTCTAGCCCACCATGTGCTCCTATAAATAAAGTTCTCCTGGGACAGACGCAAGCCTGCTCCTTCCCACAATGTCTAGGCTGCTTCTACATGACAGCAGCAGAGAGGAGCAGCTGTGACAAAGGGCACGTGGACCTGTCATGACCTGGCCCTTTACAGAAATCTGCCAACCCTTGGTCTCATCCCTTGAAGCGGAGTACTTGAAGGTGGTAGCCGTAGCAAAGTAAGATTTTCTCAGAATGTAGTTTTTCTTAGTTACACTATTGCTGGATCTGCAGCCTTCAAGCTTAATTCCCTGCCCCTTCCATAAATTTTATAAGCAACCTCATGTTGTGTAATAAATCCCTTTCCCCTGAAAACAGCTGGAGTGGTTTCCACTGCTGCAGCAGAAACTCCTGAATGAAACAGAGTAACAGAAGACAAAGGATAAGGTTATAAAGCTTAAAACTTTACTTACATTATGTGTCATCTCAAAGAACTTCTGACAGGCTACCTGGTAATGTGTCCCTTTTACTAAATCCAAAATCTAAAAATGAAGGGAAAAAAAGAGAAAGAAAAATTAGAAATCAATTTTCTTCTAAACCACTATAGCTCCTGCTTGCTGGCCTTTTCATAATCTTCATTCCAGACAGGAAATGCATTAAATCATGTGGCACATTGTACCCATGAAGCCTGGGCACTGTGATAATTTTGACATTATACAGTAGCTGTTTAGGTCGGCATTAAACCACTGATGACAAGAGATAACAAGTGATCTCTCTGACCTACTGACTGTGAATTTCAATAACTTTACCTTGACAACAAGATGAAAAGAAATCCCAGCATTATGATTTTGACAGTTATTGTCAGAATATCATACTGCAACACATCTTCCAAAATTGTAGGTATAAATCTAGTAACTTAAATGGTTGGTGCATGAAGCAATCAAGTATACTATTTAGATTTCTATTTTCCACATGACCACTTTGTACAAAAATAGCATAAAATACAGCTGTGTGCCCATCAGGAAAATCTAATGTAAACCCTTTGGGGATGAGTATCTGTGGAGAGGGAATGCTTTTGCCTTCAATCAGATTTGTCCTTTTTGAAATGAAGTTATTTCTAGTAAAGCTCAGCAAAATATGAGAGCAAATAGTCTATTCTGAACACCTATTAGGAACATCATCCCATATTTTGTAAATACAATTTGCTTCCCAATTCTACTTCCTGTAACCTCTTCAGAGCCACGTAAACTCCCATCCTTGTCAGCAGAGTGCAATGCCAGCTGAAATTTGTAAATTTTCATCACTTCTCCTGACAAATAAAATACGTATGTGGCCTGTTCATAAAACACAGTACAATGCTGGAAGCAAGAAATAGCCTCGAATGAAGGAAAAAAATAACTTTGGAGAAATGTTAATTTCTATCCTTTTTCGAAAGCATGGACTTCCTATCAGACAAAGAAATGTAAATGAAATATCAAATTCTTGCTGTCCTCCTTACTGAATATAGCTTACATCTTTTGACAGATACAAAAAAATTACAGTACAGAATAAGCAGCATATTATACTGACAGGAATGTACTTAAAAGAAGGTTTTCTCTGACTGTCTTACAGATTACATTTCTAAATTTCAGGTCACCTTTTACTAAATCATACATGAAAGAACTGTGTATATGCCAACCAATCATAGCACCCAGGATCCTGCCTGTCTACCCATGTGACCTGTCCACTTTTCTTGAATTATTTGAGCAAAATGAAAAACACATCAATTTAAAATGAATGACTGTAAGTCTTTAAAATGAAGAAAGTCACAAAGTTTTTAAAGTAATTCAAACATTCTGAGCTCATACTCGCCAATGTTTTTTACACACAGGTAAGTCAACTATGCTGAGATGAACTTGCAGTTGAGTACTGGCAAACATCAGTGATACCAAGGTATGAATGTCTGTGGATTTCAATCTTGGAGAAGTAAGGACTTTAAATATAAACAAGCTTAAATGATGCCATAAATTACCTGGGAGAAAATGAAGTCACAGAAACAGACAAAAACCTCAACTGTGTGGTATGGAATAAATTCCCTTTATGTAAAAACAAAACAATGAATCTAGCATCCTATTCTAGGCAAACACACTTCATGTTTATATCTATACATATATATATATATATATATGGTATATTTAAATATCTTGCAAAATAAATATGTAACATTATATATAACAATCTAATCTATATGTTTGGGAAACATACTATAAAACAATACTTTTATAATATGTAAGAAACATAATAATAAAATTACGTAGTTGGGTAAGGTACACATATAAAAAGTTATTATGAGAAACTGACATAGAAACCATAGAATGCAAGGGAAGATGATGTATCTTGAAATTTAGGTTCCATTAAAAAATTAAATTTAGATTTAAAAAAAAATCATACAATTATCCTCTTTCTACCCCAATTCCCACTCCACTCGAGACTAGGTTCTTTCTTAACAAAAACCATTTACTTTTCCTCTTTTACTTCATCGTCCTATAAAGAATTTTTATTGCAAGTTTTGTTGCAAATTCATAAATAAATCACTTGCCCATCTACCCTTAAACAGCTTCACTGACTGCACAGCAGCACATCTGAGTGGATGAGGGTTCTGCACGTCTGTAAAGGTGCACTGGGGCAAGAGGTCACAGTGCTTTTCACTGGATGAACTGTGTCCCGGGAAGAAGAGTGACGGAAGGAGACAGGTAACAACCGACCAGCCTGGGAGACGGTCAGTGAGCCAGCAGGGAAAGCTGAGAGAAAGGTGCCCTGAGGTGACTGGGGGTTACGGATAGGGATTATGAAGAAACAGACCTTCGCAGAATAGGGGAGTCTGTCTGTGCTCAGTCATGTCTGGCTGTTTGTGGGTCCCATGGACTGTAGCCTGCCAAGCTCCTCTGTCCATGGAATTTCCCAGGCAAGAAATACAGGAGCAGGTTGCCATTTCCTGCTCCAGGGGATCTTCCCAACCCAGGGATTGAACCTGCAACTCTGAGCACGGGTGTGACATAACGATGCACATTTTCCCAGGAGAGCCTGCCTGCTGTGCCGGGGGCAGGCGGAGAGGGTGAGCTCACAGCGGGAGTCCAGGGGAGACGAGGGGTCTGCAGCAGGTGCTGACCGTTGTGGGGGGGTAGGGGCGGGGAGAAGAATAGCTGCTCCACGTGGAAATGCTCCACCACAGCATTATATGTTCTTACATACTTCTTTCCTGAAATTCGGGGTCTTAGGAAGAGCTGGTCTCATTCAGAGTTTAAATGTTTCATATAGTCTTAATTCAAGTGACCTTTTCTAAGGAGCAAAGCTTTAAGAGAAGAGTCCGTGCCCCTGGGCTGCGGACAGATGTGCCTGACTTACAGCCAGGCTACCTGAGTTCGAAGAGATGTTAACTTCACCCGGAAGTGCGGTGCTTCTCCTCAAGCTGAAATTTTCTTTTATATTTTCTCAACAAAGAAGAAATACTGGATATGGTAATATTTTGCAGTGTCAATGTTGAACGTACCTAACCATGGTTTTTTAAAATATGCTTGGTGGGGGAGAGGGATACATAGCAAGTTAGTTCATAATGTGTTTCTTTACATATTTTTGTGTTATCATGTGTTGCATACGATGTTAAAAATTTTTTAAGAAAAAACCATTCTTGTAGAAAAGCCAGAATGAGGATGTAGTCAGGCAGCAGCACTTCACAGACAGTGTTCGTCTCACTGAGCTCCTGAGGGCCAGCTCACCAAGGCTGGGCAAGCCCGAGTGGGGATTTGAAAGAACCAGAGGGAGATACACACTCGCAGGGTGAGACGCTCTACTGGAGGAAGGAGGGATGTAAGGAGACAAGAAAAGATAAACAGGAAGGTGAGGGAGGCAGGTGGGAGCAGAGGGCGAAAGGCCCAAGAAATGCGTGCACAGAACAGAGCCCACAGCTGCTCTGCCTGGCCTGCAGACATGCGTCCACAGCCACAACCGCACTCACCAGCAGGGGCACGAGTCCCCCGCTCCCCGGTCCTTCAGGAAGAGACAACACACCACAGCTTCCTCACGAACCAGCATCGGTACCAAACAGTCCTTTAAGAAGGAAACCAAATCAAGTGCCAATTCTGATGCCTATGCTAGAAGTTTCTCAGTTCTGTTTTAGAAAAATACAAGCAATCTGAAGAATCTTATTAAATAAAGGCTTATTTGAAAACAAAAGCTTATTATTATTATTTATTATTATTTAAAGAAAAATTCCAATGAAGGTCTAAGAATATCGCTCAAATGGCAGTTTGAGTTTGGTTTTTAACATCAATATTTCCAGACTAGAGTACAAAACGTAAAGCACAACAATCATTCTAGTCTACTTCATCAGTAGTCAGAAGGTTAAGAAAAATTAAGAGGAAAAGCGATATAATACTACTATATCTTGGTAACTTATGTTCTTTAACTTTTTTCTCTATCTATCTTAAACTACTTATCAGCTGACTAAAGTCCATCAAGAAGAACATTAGATGGTTTTTCCTCTTTTTTTTAAAAGCAATGCAGTTTGCCATTTTTATAAGACGTTCATCATGTTTGTACTTACTAAGTTTGGTAAATTTGGGGTGGGGGGGAGACACGCAACTCAGCTATCTCTAACTCAAGGTCATGTTCTGTTTTATTTAAAAGTGATAACAAGCGTGTTTCTTTCTTAAAAAGTCAACCTTTCAAGGAGATATTTGCTGGTATTTTCCCACTCCATTTCTAACTTTATTTTGAAGGTGAGAGAAACAGTCATGATGCAGAGTCCAGAACACTTTTGAGCTCATTTATCTGGCTCCCGTTTCTCCCAGACACCTGACGACCCCGCCATGACCTTCACCTGCTGGCAGGTCAGGGGCAAGCTTCCCAGTCCTGAAGATGTGCTGCAACAGGTTTAAAACACCATATGCCATGCATTCTTCTAGCTCACTCTTCATTGTCTATAATAGTTAGCCAAACGAATCATTTCTACCTCCAAAGGCCCTTAAAACCCATCTTTTCCTCCCCATTGTTCAGGGCCTCGTCATCCCCTTTTTATGGCAAAGCTCCTTGGCTCCTCCCGCCCTCACTCCAGACAGCTGCTGATCCAACCCGAGAAGCTTCCCTGCAGCCCAGGCCTGACCCTGGCGTCGCTGGCTCCTGCACGGCAGTGACCGGCAGGACACAGCCTCCCTGGGGCCCTTACTGCCCACCTGTCCCTGGGGCCTCACCTCCAGCCCAGCTTCTCCCACGGGATGTGCTTTGCAATTTCAGCTCACAGAAGTCCAGTGATTTCTCAGAGGGTGTTTTTGATCTAATGCGTTGTTTGACTTGGTCTAGTCCAGAATTACCTAAGTTTCTTCAGGGCAAGGCTTACCAGCATAGTGCTTCTCAACTAGCCTGTCCCTAGAACCTGTGTTCACAGCTCTCGCAGGACCAGGCTGCCCAGAACACACCAGGACCTTATCTGACCATGCCCGCCGCCCCGCAGCCGAGCTTCTCTCACCACACTGGATTTCTCTACCTCCTGTCTTCCCTGGAGCAT